ATTTTGGTGCTACATTTAGTAGTTGTAAGTTTACAACAACTTTGTTACTATTTAGTTAATTTTGATAATAATGCATGTGATATGGTACATCAAGATGATTCAAGTTGATCAATTCAATGATCTCTATGTGTTGTTAATATTACACTCAAACCGACTAAGCTAAGAGGCTAGAAACTTCTAGTAAATAGAGATGAATTTGAGTTGACTCAAACAAGTTTGGGATGAAACTGATACAAATTTAAAGTTGGAGATAAATTAAAAGACCCTTCAAAAGCTGAGGATGAAGAGAGTGAAGTTGACTCCAACAAACGACAGCGGCCCGGAAGCCCAAAACGTGAAAAATACGTGGGATGGTGGAAAAGAAAAGGGTCATAATGTGGGAGGCATTAGGGCCATGTGCGAAAGACTCTCGGTTAGTTGCACCTAAACGGGTGTGGTCCATTTGGGCTTAGTGTACCATTGTGGGGGGCGACATTGTCGTTTGTCGTTAGCTCAATTAAACCCCCGGTACTTACCACCTTTCTAACTTAACTTCTAAGTTTCTAACGCCCTGCCCCTAAAACAATTGCAGCATCTTTTTCCTAATCCTATACGCGCCATGTGCTTCTCGTTGAAACATTAACAAAGTTCCTTAGGTTTAAGTTGCTTACATAAAATACAATTTAACTGAATCCTTTGTCAGGGATCAACGAAGGGACTTACTTACAAAAGAGATAAAAGTTTTAGCATTGAATTTTTCATGATATTCCTTAATCCAAGCATAATCATTATGAAAATTGGGCATGCAAATTTTAACATAAAAATTGTATTTAATTTAAAATCAATTGATAATATGTGAAATAATCATTTTTAAGTTCTTTAATGTGATTATTTTTAAGAATGGAGAATTACTATTTTCATTAATAACATTTAATCAGCCAAGCAACCATATGGCTTTGATATGCATAAGAAGTTTTACCCCAAGCATATTGTATTTATGTTACATGATATGCAAGTTTGATAAGAATTTCGAGTTTTAAATTTCAATATAAAATTTATATTCAATTTAAAACTTATAAATAATAAAGAAGTAATTTTTTTTATATTTAATATATATATATATATTTTCTAGTATCTTCAATATAAAATTCTCCGTGTCACAATCACAGAGGCAAAACAAATCAAAAGTGGTAGCAAGATGTACCCTAATTTCTACTCATAATTGAAAGTTGTGCCGATCGAGTAATAATTTCGGTATGGAAGCATTCCCATAGAAAAAAAAAAAGGTTCATCGTGGTCCTCTGCAAATTTGACAAAGCAAAGCGTGCAAAAGTGGGGATGAGGAGGGTTCTATTCAATCAATTCAATGCCATACTCCAAATCGGTGCCCCTAGTAACACACGCACGACATGAGTGCCAGAAATCGAGAGTGATCCCCACCACTTCTTTGGTTTCTTTTTCTTTACCGTGTGTATTGAATACCTTATGCCTCATCATGTCATGCAATTTCCTAGGCTCTTTGCAGTCTGTCCCAAAACTTCCATCGCCTTCGTGTTCTCTTCTCCATCTTCAATCTGTCGCCGAGCAGAGAAAAGCCCAACACTGTCACTGTTTTCTCTCTCTCTGTTTTTTAACGTTTATGATATAAATGTTTCGCGGTACTAATTTTCTGTTTGCTTCTTCGAAAACTTGAATTCTTTCTTTTTTGCATGACTACAATAGATATTGGGCGTCAATCCCATCTCAGCAACTTGACATATAAGGCAAAATTATGGTGACCTGATTTCCTTTGTTTGCATTTGTAAGCCTTTAAATAATCTTATGCTTTCTTCTTCTTCTTTTTTTTCTCAGTTACTTAAATGTATATTAATTCAAGCACTACATTAAATTAAATGGTTTGTCTAACAAATGTGCACTAAGTTAAGGTATAATAAATGTATTATTTTTTAATTAATTTACATAAAATAATATAAAAGTGAAGAGAAATATATTTATACATAAATCTTACATTATATTTATAAAAAAATTTGATAATTCATCAATCTACTCTTAATAATTAAGATTTATTACCTTTTTTAGATAAAAAAATAATTATTTTTAATAAATATAAATAAATTTCAATTATTAAAAATAAAAAATAAATTATTGAGATATCTTACATTATATTTATAAAAAAATTTGATAATTCATCCATCTACTCTTAATAATTAAGATTTATTACCTTTTTTAGAAAAAAATAATTATTTTTAATAAACATAAATAAATTTCAATTATTAAAAATAAAAAAATAAATTATTGAGATTTTGTATAAAT